CAAACAAACTCTCCCTTCTTTTTCAACAGTGGGCTAAAAAGCTCTTACTCCAATTCTTTGGTCCTCCAAAGAGTTCTCTACTCAAAACAGGGTAGACAAAATTTTATATTTGTAAAGTTAAAAAAAAATAGAACTTTTAAAAATCCCAATATTTCTGAGCCTTTTTCGTATATCATAAAGAAGCAACAGAGGGTACAAGCCCAATTCTCTTCCCCTTGTAGGCCACCTTTAAAGTTCCTTTGCATCCCTCCTCCTCACCACACCTTTTTTATTAGCATTCTTGTTTATAGAAGGGCTTTTTATGCTTTTGGCTATAAATCACAAATCAGTGCTATTTCTAAAGCGTTATCAGCACTGCAGTGTAATGACTGCATGGCATCTCTCCAAGTCCTGCACCCACTGAATTCCAAGGCTGTAAACCACACCCTACTGTTCTGATTGGAGTCCTGTAAACATAAGAGACCCTCCTTCTCTAAACTCACCTTTAATAAGTTCTCTCACAATGCAGAGTCCATAATAAATATAGAGGCAGGAGCTGCCGCACTCTAGAAATCAATATTTGTAATTAAAACACTGAATATTATAATAGCAAAGATAAAAGGTGGCTGTGGTATAACTGGAGCATTACCAGGGGAGTTTGTTTGTTTTTTGACAGTAGCACCTACTGTCTCCACTCAAGATCAGGGTCCCATTGTGCTAGGCACTGTACAAAAACATAGTAAGAGACAGACCTTGCCCTAAAACACTCATAGTCTAACTAGAATAGAAATGAATACTTCTTAGTTTGGTCTCTTCCCTGTTTTCCATTTATTCAGACTCCTGTCCATCGCCAAAGTCTCATTAGAAAATCCACAGTATTTTCAACCAAGTAATGTATCGGTACAGAAATGCAGGTCCATTCGGATAAGCCTTAACCTACCATTGAAGGGAAAAACTGAGTGCATCCTTGACCTGTCCACATCTTAAAACAAAGGGGAATGGATAGCTATCCACCAGGGAAGCATGTCTATATGTTACCAGGGAAACAAACAGCAAAAATAAAGGAACCCCGTGTCCTTGTCATTTAGATTTTTTTCAACTGGAAACAGGGCCTGCGTTAAAATAATGAAGACATTGTTCTGCCTTCAGGACTGTGTGCTGTCCTCACTGGATGACAGACATATGTTTCTGCCCATCATGTTGTCACTCATAAGGAGAGCCACCCAGGTATATATTCAGAGGAGAACCATTAATATTTTCTAATCCTTGAGCAGTGTGCAACACACCCATCTTCTAATGAACTCCAACCACCTCAAGCTGTGGTCATGGTAAATGTCTCATATTAAGCAGGGTCGAAGCTAATAAGTATTTTTGGACACCCATAAAGAGGAGTTGGACTTAAACTGAATCATGGTGGGGAGTAAGGATACAAAGAAACTTTAAAGGTGACCTGCAAAGGGAAGAAATTGGGCTTGTGCACTCTTTTGCTTCTTTATGCTATACAAAAAGGGCTCAGGAGTTGGTGGTGATTCAGTAGGTGTTATTCTTCCCTGTGAGTCAGTATTGGAAACATGCAGCAGCTGGATGTTAGGAAGGGAGAAGTTGTAATGTTGCAGATGTCATATTTCAAATGAGATGCAAAATGGGGACACTATGTACTTGTTGTCAATGAAAGGTACTAAGTGCAAGATTATCGTTCTAACTCAAGTATGTGTGAAATTTTGTGCCTTTTCTTTAAATTATGGCCCGTGATCCTGTACTGTCAAAGTCAATGGGAGCTTGGCTGCTCCTTTCAATGAGCATAGGATGAAGCCCTGTGTGAACTAGTTGTTCTTCCATCCAGATCATAACAATTACATGTAGAGATGGAGACAGAAGAGAGAGAGATTGGTATTTTTTCTGGGGGAAGTGTCTTCCACCTCCTGATGGAACTCTACAAACAAACCCTCAATACCTAGCATCAGAACCATATTTTCCAAGATGAGGGCTGGATGGGACTTGCTTCAGAACTAGTGATCAGTGTTGTACTTACTTGCTGCGTAATCTTGGACAAGTCACTTGATGTCTCTGCCTTGGTTTCCCCAATCTGCAAAATTCTTATCTCACAGAGAAGTGTTTAAAGGATTAATAACTCAAGACTGGTACAGTGCTTTGAATAGGTAAAGCACCACATAAGTGTTAAGTAGTATTAATAGGCAGAGAGGTCACTGCTGAGTAATGTGCATGTATGGAGTACAGATGGAGGGATATTTTTTCACTCAACAGGATGTTTTGGGCAAATGTTGGAATATAAGCTTTCCATGGCAGTTGGTTTTGGGTAGTTCAGAGTGGCAGTTGAGTTCGAATGGATGAAACATAGATCAGCCATACTCTATCACAGCAGTGGTCCATCTCATCCAGTATCCTGCAGTTACTAGGACAACCAGAAAATCTATGAAATCTCTCTGGCTGACAGTGGCCAGTATCAGATATATCAGAATAAAGCACAAGAAACACGACATGGACCATTTACAATAACCATCCCCTGGGAGGAAATTTCTTTCTACTGTTTCAGTTAGACCTGAAGCATGAGGATTTATTCCTTATGATTTTTATTCTCCATTTAAAAAAAAAAATCCTGCTACATTCTGGCTAATGGTATCTAGAGGCAATGAATTCTCTGGGTTAATTATGCATTGTGTAAAAAAGTATTTCCTTTTATCTCTTAAGTTTTCTGCCTTTAAGTTAATCAACTGTCCTCTTGTTCTTATTAAAGAGCCACCCTGAAATTACCATCTTTGTCCCATTCATTATTTTATATACCTCTACTTTATCCCCTTTTTTTGTTGCGATTCTCCTCTCTTATTTGATTCCTCTGACAACTGGATTAGGGTGCTTGGTCTGGGGGGCTGTGGCAGAGGATAGACATCAAGATGCTTAAATAAAAAGTAGCCATCTGTGCCCTGTCAGCACTAGCACTTACACCATTGCTACCAATGATGGAGCTGAAATTACTGTATCAAGAGTGGGAAATGTTTGGCAAAAAAAAATCTACTGTAGAGGCCCCATAAATGTTTAGAAAGGGCTGTTTCCTAGTGTTTTTCTCATTCCATTAACTTTTTATCATGGAAATTTGATTTTTCCTTGTACTTGCAACTAGCTGAGAATAACACTTAAATCAGCACTGAGGAGGTGGAAATATACAACAGGAAAATGCACACTGTAGTTTTCTGGATATTTAAATGTAGAACTATGACTAACCACAACTCACACATGAGTTATTGATTACAACCAATCATCTCAAGTGCAACTATAAAGTGAATACTATTATTCTAATTAGTAAACTCTGCTGCCCCCTTTAATGAGTCAGTATTGGTTAGGAATAAATGAGGTGAGGGGGCAAATGCTATTGTGAAGTATTTATGTAACACAGGCTGGGACTCAGGGTTAAAGCCATAAATGGCAGAATGAGGGATTCTGGTCAGTCTTAGCTTGTTATGGTCTGAGTACACTCCTGCTGGCCTGAGGAGTTTATAGTACAGAACCAAAGCAAACCAGCCTTGGTATTTATTTTGTCTCTTGAAAAAGATCAAAGGCAAAATTAAATAATGATAAAAATCATACCTAACTCTTTTAGAGCACTTTCCAGCTTTAGATGTCAAAGCAATTTACAAAGAGGAAGAACATCACCATTCCCATTTTTAGATGGAGATACTAGGGCACAGAGAAGTAAAGTGATCTGCCCAGGATCAGGGATCAGGTCAGTGGTAGAGCCAGGAAAATAGAACCTAGGTCTCCTAAAGTTCCAGTTCACTGCCCTGTCCGCTAGACCCGGCTGCTCTAGAAGTTAATAGACTCTGGACACCTCAGATTTACATAATCTTTATTTTTACCTGGGTAATGAATGATTGCTTTTCAGAAATAAAACTATCACTGACATAGTCAACCACAGTCACTTGTTCACTTGCAATGAACTACAGCTAAAAATAATTTTCCAGAAAATATCAGCTTGACCCATTCTACTTTTCTTGGATCTTTTGCAAGACACTTCCTAAGGAAGAATTTCTCTACAGTACTAAACAGCTATATGCTTCTCTCTCCCAGTAATCTACCTCATCTCTTCATAGACAATGGATGAGGAAAATAAGAACCCCCAAAGAGTAGAGAAATAAGAAAAGAAGGATGTAGCAACTTTATATAGTTTATCACAGCGATAGGTTTAAACTTTCAAAATAGTATAAGGAATTTTAGACAAATCTTCCATTAAAATTAATGGAAGATGTGTATCTAAATCCCTCAGACTGCTTTGGAAAAAAAAATCAACCATAAGTCATTGTGGCTTTTTCTTTCCTATGTCATATCTAAACTTCTGTGTTCTCACCCATTTTTCTCAATGTAAAATGTTTTAATTAGCATCATAATTATTGTGGCCATTTTAGAATTAGGATTACTGGTTACCTTGCCTTTTTCTTATCTCTATAGGTCTACTGAAATGTAATAGTTTTCCCTTGTCTCCTTTGAACAATAGTGTGTACTAATCAGAAACAAAAACAGACAGAAAAAGGAAAGATCCTGCCTGTGAGAAACTGTGCAGGGTGTTAGCTGGAGTGAGGTGGAGCTGCCCCCAGAAACGATGATTTAGGGGTCAGGCCATGGCAGGCATCAAGGGAGATGAGAAATGAAGGGGGCTAAGATCCCTTTTTCTTTGCACTAGTGGTGGCAGAATGCTACTGTCCCCAAAGGACTCAAGGGGCCCCGATTTAGTCTTATCCCCAACCTAGCCCTCATTTTATTGAATCTGGAGGTTTTAACAAGTGTTAAAGGGGGAGGGGCAGGGGGAGGGTGACCTCATGTCCCGATTTTTAGGGACAGTCCCGCTATTTCGGGCTTTTTTTAATATAGGCTCCTATTACCCCCTACTCCCTGTCCCGATTTTTCACACATGCTATCTGGTCAGCCTAGGCGGGGAAGTAATTTTGGGGTTTCTGAAAATAATTAGTATTGATGGATCATGGGAGCCGTCGAGAGGCTCCCAATGGACGAGTCTCTGCTTGGCAGGGGGCCCTGTTGTGCAGCTCTTGTGTCCTCCCTCTTTCATTGCTCCCCCTTCTCCCTCGTGCCCCGGAGAGCACGGATTTCACTGTCGGCCTCTCCTGCGCGCTCCGCTGCTGTGGGCTACGGTCATTGGTCCCAGTCGCCATCGTCCCTCTGGCGAGCCGCGCCTGATCCCACTGGGGAGGTCTCCCTGTGCAGACGGGGGTTTGTGGCTGTTACGTTCTCCTTGAGCCCGTGCCAACCCGCGCTCCGTGGCAATGGCCCGGGGCCCTAGGCTCTGTCTGCCCCGAGTCCCAGCCTGGCCCCGGCAGGCCGCCCTTGCGGCTGCAGCGTGGCTCTGCGCGTACCTCCAACCCCGCCGCCGCTCTATGAATGAAGTGACTCAGGGTGCAGATGCCAGCCGCACAGCGACGCCAGCTGGGGTAGAAACAATGTAGCGAGGCGGGGTCACCGTGCAGGGCTCGCGATCGCCAGAGAACACCGCACGCGCCGCCTATTATTTATAATCCCCGTCTCCCGAGCCAGACCGCGCGCAAGCAGCAGCCTCGCTTTGGCGCGAGGCCTCAATTCCCATTGGACACCCACAACGTTCCACTTCTAAGCACGCAGGGAACTAAGGACGCAAACGACTAGACCACGCGCTCCCTTGTCTCGCGCTCTCCCCCAACAAAAGAGGAGGAGGAAGGGGGATGTGGCGTCGCGCGCTTGAGTCTCGCGCTTTCCCGGGGGTTGACTGGTGGAGCGCGCTGGCTCTCACGCTCTCCCCCTACCGGCACACGCGCGCGCGTTCTGATTGGCCGCAGCCAACGTTCTTCGGAGACGGTTTAACTGCAGCAGCGAGGTTCAGTGAGAGGAAAACAAAACAAAGGAGCGTAGCGGCGCGGGCGCCGGGATGCCTCGGCCACCTCTCAGTCCCGAGGGGAGGAGACCCGGGCCTGGCCCCCGGCTCCCCTGATGACCCTGGGCGCTGCAGCCGCCGCGGGGAAGACACCCCTGAGCCTGGGGAGGGGGAAGGACCCCCCCCGGGCGCGCGCAGAGCCGCCACCTGAGCGGGGCATGAGGGGCCACTGCCACTAGACCCTCTCCTCGCCCCAGCTGGCAGCGACGGAGGCTGCTCCTTCCCCGTGCCAAGCCAGCCCCCCACAGAGGGAGGGAAGGGGGGCCACAGCTGCGCGGAACCCGCGGGGGTCCGGCCTGGGCAGCGGAGCCGCCGGTGAGTACCCAGCCCGCGCAGCGAACCAGGCAACAGCTCCCCCAACCCGAGGGACCTTCCCCCGCTTGGCCACCGCCGCCCCACTCGGTAGCCAGCCGCGGCGTTTCCTCCCCGCGCCTCAAGGACCCGGCGGCGGCTTTCGCTGTCGGCGAGGTGGGAAGCAGAGGCAACTTTCCTGGCTTGGCCCGGCGGGCTCGGGCTCTATTTATAGCGCCTGGAAGTGACGGCAGAGCTGCCCCGGTCGGCTGCAGCCGCCGTGTTACCGGGCGGATTGTGAGGCTTTGCATTGCTGCGGGGGCAGCAGACCAGACGGCGCTGCGGGTCCAGAGGGCGGCTAGCCCCTTCCCAGCCGGGCTGATCCCCGACCCCTTCGCCCACCCCCGTCCCAGCGCCACGCCTCCCAGCCTCCCCTGCTGGAGCGGGCTAACTCGGCCAAACCCCGCCGGCAGGCGCCTGCCAGCCGCGGGGCTTTGTTTGTAAACAGTGGGGGACGCGTCGAGCCCTTTCCAAGGTCCTGTGGTGCGATCCGAGGCAGGCCGCGGCGCACAGGCGCTGTGGGGATCGCTGCTGGGGCCGGAGGTCGCTTGGCCGGACTGCAGAGCCCTGACGGATTAGGATCCCCCCTACCTTGCATGCAAAGCCCTGTGAAATCTCCCCCCTCCCCCACCTGCTGCTGCTGAACAGTGCCCAGGGCTGAGCGCGGGCAGGCGGCAGGGCTGGTCTCTGTTTACAAGGCAGAGCAGAGCGTTCTCCTGCTCGCTGCTGCGGCTGCGAGGAAAAGTTACATTGTCCTGTCAGCCCCGGAGATACTGTTGCAAACGAAAAGCGGCACCATTTACGGAGGTAACTTTGCGCGCTGATAGTGAGGATGGAAACTCATTTGCAAAACGAGCTTGAAATGGGAACAGACGAATAATCGCTTACTATTTAAAACTTTCCAGTAGGGAAACCAAGATCGATCTGTGGAGGTAACTTTCAGCTTCATTGTGTTTATTTTAATTTATCTATACACTGGCTACTAAAAATCAGTAATGAGATTTAAGAATTGTCGGTATGCTATATTGCAGACTGTTTGCTTGATCTGAAAACATGGAACCGTATCTGATTAAATTGACTTTCCTGCATTTCTTTTTTTAAAAGAAAGTGTATTCGAATCTTAGTTTATGAACAGTGTATGTGTATTTAAAACCAAAAAAAAAAACCCTGTCGGGCTTGTTGGTGCCAGACAAAACATTAAATTCCCCCATTTTTGTATTGAATGGATTAGGAGAGAGGCCCCTTAAATAGTCAGGTGCCTTGAGTTAACTATTTTCTACTTTATTTTATTTTTGTCATTACAATTCCTGGTGTGACTCTTGAGTTGATCTTACTAAGAGTGGTGGGAAAACTGCCTAGACAGTCATTCAAATGAATTAACTATTAAGTTGTCAAGAAACCGATCTATTTTGGTTGACTTAATATATCTAACTTAGCTATGAATTTCTTAAGGACTGGGAATTTTAGTCTGTAGTTGCCTTGTTGCTGATGTCGGGGCCAAACTTAAATACATTTCAAATCAAGAATAGATTTGCTAAGTCTCTTTTAAAGGATGAAAGAGGAGTCAGTGGTTTACACACAACTCTATAAGGTAACCTCTCCAGAAAATAAGCTGTTAGGAATAACACTGAGAAATGCTGTGAAGATGGCATATTTATTAAATGTTAAAAGCTTTGAATAGCTAGCTATAGGTCAGATGCTAACCTTGTTAAACAAGATTGATTAAAATGTTCAGTTACCTAGATCTGAAATTCCAGTACTCATGTCCGTTACCTGGTGGATAATAGTACTGTCCTTAGACTGCATCTGCTTTAACATGCTTCCTCTCATTGTTTGTTTACACATCCGGGAGCATGGTTGGGGACTGCCCACTTCATTACGATTGGCTGATACTTGGCTACCAAATTTGGACATCCCATTCAGTGATGTCATGCTGCTAGATGGCAGCAAAACTTGAAATTACTTGATGAAATACATGAATTGTAAGTTCAGATTTAAATGCTAAGTTTCTTTGTTCAAGAAGTTAACATGTTTTAAGAATTGTAAACATTGTCAGCCTCCAATAACAGACGGATCGAGAAGCAATGTCAGTAGATTGTAAATACCAAGGTGAAACTGAGAATTATCTTTAACCAATGTGATATATGCCATCATGTGCCAGCAGTGCCCCCTTTGCCATATACATTGGCCAAACCGGACAGTCTCTATGCAAAAGAATAAATGGACACAAATCAGACGTCAAGAATTATAACATTCACAAACCAGTCGGAGAACACTTCAACCTCCCTGGACACTCAATTACAGACCTAAAAGTCGCAATTCTGCAACAAAAAAACTTCAAAAACAGACTCCAATGAGAAACTGCAGAACTGGAATTAATTTGCAAACTGGACACCATTAAATTAGGCTTGAATAAAGACTGGGAGTGGATGGGTCATTACACAAACTAAAAACTATTTCCCCATGTTAATTTTTCCCCACCTTTTTTACTCACACCTTCTTGTCAATTGTTTGAAATTGGCCATCCTGATTATCACTACAAAAGTTTTTTTTTCTCCTGCTGATAATAGCCCACCTTAATTAATTAGTCTCGTTAGAGTTGGTATGGCAACCCCCATTTTTTCATGTTCTGTGTGTGTGTGTGTGTGTGTGTGTGTAGATATAGATATATCTTCCTACTGTATTTTCCACTGCATGCATCTGATGAAGTGGGTTTTAGCCCACGAAAGCTTATGCCCAAATAAATTTGTTAGTCTCTAAGGTGCCACAAGTAGTCCTCGTTCTTTTTGCTGATACAGACTAACACAGCTACCACTCTGAAACCTTTAAAATGTTAGTTTCTGAAGCTCCATCTCCTACACCACACCCTCCAACATTCACTCTAATACTTAAATTTATTTTGTTTTTAATGCTTTTGACTAGTAAGAATCATTCCTCTTAACTCTGAACCCTTTTGCAACTGGTCCTCTTATTTCTGTTGCCAGATAATTGTGCAGAGTTGAGCTATTAACCCATAAGCAGACATTTAAAGTATGTTTGGATACTGTTGAGATTGTTTGACTCCCAGATTTTGTCATGGTGTTTGTATGTGCTCATCAACACCAAGCATAGTTTATGCATGGTATCTAAGAGTTGTAACTTTTGACACTACCAGGATTTTATCACTACTTTTGATACAATCAGGAGGAAGGTAAAATGCTGAATATCTTTGATCCTGATGAATTTTTATAAATATAATTATCAGTAACCTAGCACAAGCAACTAATTTTTGGAGTATCTTTAAGGCTAGTACTTCCTGAGTCATATATGCAATAGTTTAAAAGATGGTTAGACTGTACATATTTGCAGACTTATTTTCTTGTATTATGCTTGTGGTTATTCTGTAATCTCTTGCTTTCCAATCAAGAAAAGAGGTTACATACTTCAGTATGTTCTTGGATTATTTGCTTGTTTTGGGACTGGGGGCTGTGTTTTCTAATTTTCATAATGTGTCATGGATACAATTTTATATTTTTCTCATTATATTTAGTGGCTTTTTTCTTTTTGACAGCAGAGAAATAGAGTGTGTTGAGTTATTTCAACAGGGAAAAAATACACTGAAGTCATGTGGTTCCTGCATCTTGGCATCAGAGAAACAATTTCTATTTTAACTAGCAAGTAAAAGGTTTTGCTTTGAGGGTTATTATTTAACTCTCCATCTTTTCCCAACAGGATTTATATTTTGAAAACTAGTGACAGTAAAATTCAGAACTTTCTTAAAGTCAGTCAGCTAATGCCTTCAGTGATATAGATAGTAAGCCTATAACCTAATATTCAGTCCCCTTTTTGACAACAGTTAAAATAGCTTGAGTTGGTAAAGTGCTTTTATGACAAATCTTATAAAAGGAATCTGGCAATTTTAAAAAAATTCATTCCACCTAACATTGAAGTTATGAGCTGCGTATAATTTTTTTAATGAGGAAACCCAAAATAAATCAGGAGCAAATGGTATTATTTACTAATCACATATTGAATGTGTGCCCTAAGGCCCCAGTCAGGATATGGGGAGCACTGTGTTGTGAATTGTACTAACACTCAAGAAGACCATTCCTGTCTGGAAGGGCATACAGCCTAAAAGCCACAAGACCAGATAAATTGTTGGGGGGGCGGGGGAAGGGTTCAGGCTATATCATGATAGTTTACGTGCCTTTGTTACTTTGTGTTAGTGAGGGAGAATGGATGAGAGAAATAGATCAACAACACTCTTGAGGGTGGATATGAAGAGGATGAGAGTATGGTGTTATGGAGAGAGAAAGAAGGATGGCAGGGGAAATAAAGCTGTTAACAGAGACACAGTGAGGGAGGAGTTGGAAGGAGGAGAAGGCAAACAGCCAGTCAGAAGAGACTGAAAGTGCAGATCTGATGACATCATTGCTGTCCAGTAACTGTGAAAATGCATTGCTGCAGCTCCTGCTTCCCAGAGGCCGGCCTGCAAGTGGCAAGCCTTTCCATCAGAAGTTCCTGCTGTTCCTTCCCTAAACCCATATTGCTGGAGGGAAGGGCACATAGAGGCTGTTGTCTTGAATTGCACAGTTTGGAATCTGTGTAAAACTTCTCATTTTTTGACTTCAGAATTCTGTGTACATTCAGATTTTCAGGGCAACCTGTGGGTCATGGTCTTGGCTAGACATTTGTGGTGTAAGTAGCAATAATATGCAGTTGTCATGGTTCTTGACAATCACTGCAGTTCAGAGACCTGTGGGAAGCTGCTCTGGAAACTGACCCTAGACATGTTTGGTTTTTTACTTCTTGGCACAGTTATGGGCAGTAGTGCTTTTTATCTGGCACTTTTTATCTGCAGGCTGAGGAAGAGAAAATTTCATTGACTTAGTTCAGGTTTGGAAGCTTGCCTTCCATTTTTTTTGAAGCAACGTATGAAGGGCTACTTTATGAGATGCAAAAAACCTGTGGGGTCTCTCTTTTTGGAGATGAGAATATGGTTTTGCCAAAGGAGCTCTGGGAGGTCTTGGGAATGTTTTGAGGGCAGCACTTTTTAATTGAAGGGTTAAAATGTCAAGTCTCTAACAAAAGACTTCCTTTACTCAGTTTCCATCACTTGGATTTAAAAGGCATGAAACTCAAACTAGAGTTTTAAACAATCTGACTTTAGAGTAGAAGGAATATTTTAAATTGGTTAACTTTCACTCTATTACCTCTTGTAATGTCATTATTTCACTAGTTCTTCAGTCATCATCCTAAGAGGCCTGATCCAAAGCCCTACAATTTCTGTGTGTATTTTTTTACTTTAGAAATTCAGATCCTGTTTAGTCTTAGAGACATGGGCCCTGATACAGAGCCCAGACAGTGGTTTTGGATTAGGCCTAAAGTCTCCAAATCTGAGGGGGCAGGGATATGGACAACTTTCAGGGCTTCTTAAGAGGTCATAGAGAAATGAGAGAGCAGAAGACCCCTGCCCTCCATTTGCAGGTTTCTTTTACAAATGAAATCTGCAGAAATTGCCTTGGTCCCCTCTCCCCTACCTGGGAAAGTGGATTTTTCAAGCCCTGATGGGTTTTTGAGGTGTGGTTTCTTTCTTTGCATATACATTGCACTTATCCATAGTAGCTTTCTATAAATAGACTTCTAATACTGTCATTAGATCTTAAAATGCAGTGATATTTCAGGATGGCTATGCCAAGAGAATATAATGATGCCATAGTGATGTGCATTGTAATTAATCATGTATTGAAACTGACAGGAGTAGTGGCCTACAATAAAGAATTTTTTGACACAAATCCTTGTCACTGACAAAGATGGGGAAAGGAAATATAAAAATGTATGACAACTTAATAGGTTTTTAGTAAAACATTTTACATTGGGGTTAGGTCTGCAATATTGGTGTTTATCCATGTGTCTTATTTGTCTAGATTTATTTCAAATATACCATCTTGGGCTCTGGATGCATGTTAGGCGAACATTCAAAAACTGTGAAATTAGTTACCTGCCAGATCCTTTCCATTCTTCAAACCTCATCTTTCTCCACTCCTGCCCACCCTTAAAAACTCTTGGGGAAAACAGGTAGGCCTTGTTATGAACAGAGGACATGCCCTTATTGGCAACAAGTTCCCATTTAAAAAAAAAAAAAAAATGAAGTAATGTAGACATCCCTCTAAGTTTTTGTTGAGGACTGTTTCCTTCAGAGAATTCTATTTGTATAATTAACTGTAAGTCCTTTAATTTTATAAAATATGCACCCATCCTTTTATCAGCTTGAGGTAAAAATTCAAAAAGAGCTGATGCGTGTGGTCTTTATACCTAACGAAGCAGGCATTATATGTTCATATGGTTGTTTCTCAAGACAGTCTGATTTGTGATAATTTACTTATAAATTGCTTCCTTGAAGCAATCAGTAGAATACATGTAATTCAGGAGTGTAAACTTACATTTTGTGGCAATATGAGAAGTAAATCACCTTTCTGCATTTTAAAGTGTTAACAATATTTCAGGTGGTGCTGCTTTTCCAACCGTTAACTAAAGCAGTTGAAAAATAAAATGCAAAGTTATGTAAGGGTGGGTGGGTGGCTTCAAATGGAAAACACATTGTCATGGTGGTCTCACATATGGTTTATGCTTGATATCATTTGTTTCATTCTTTTGTCAAACCAAATTTCATTTAGACCTATACAAAAATAGTTGGAGTTTTAGATGGTGGTTGATTATTTCTTCCATATTGCAGCTAGTGATGGGCTGATTAAACTTTTTGTTTGGGTTTTTTTGGTTCATCAACCACAGATGAACAAATCAATTTTAGTTTCCAGCTATACTTAGGCTACTGCTTTGTTATTAACAGGAAAGAGTAGACTTTTTTTTTTCTTCAACTCTCATATTATCTAGCTAGTAAACCGTACATGTGCTCTTTATTCTCACTTTTCATAAAGCTAATAGAAAAGACCAGAAGTACAGTGAACTACATTGGCACTTTTATTTCAATACCTCTGGTATTGATCCATTGTACCTGCAGCATAATGATTGGTGGCATAATAGGTGATCTTTTGTACAGCATCACTGAATTAGTAGCCTTCATGCTTGGATTGTTCAGTTGCTTTGAGTCACATAATATATTAAGTAATGTTTTAGTAAACAGATCTGTAGCTTGCAGATGCAAATTTTACTTTCAAGGTAGAAGATTATAGAAAAGTGTAGCCTTCATTTTTTGTATATTTATATAAAATGTTACAGTGTGTGTAATACGTTATTTCCTCTAAGGAGATCTGAGGATCAAGAATGTGTACAGCATTTTGAACTTAGAAAATAGAATTCTTAATATTTATGTTAAGGTTGTAAAATCTGTTCTCCGCTACTGAAATTTGTTAGATATTAAGATTATTTTGGTAGAGTAAGGGGGAAAAAATAATAGTTGAAAGAACTGATTAGTCTTGGTGGACAGAAGACTGGTCTAAAAGACTCTAACTTTGTAGCTGGGGAATAGTCTGATCTCAAAATAGTGCAAATTTTTGGTCAGGATTTTATTGTGTGTATGTATCACATTTGACTTCAAGTCCGGTGCTTGTGAAATGCCCTGGAAGTTGAAAAAATAGACACAACTCCCCACTGCCTGTGTGTTCTGGAGTTTAGCATGGGTTTGAGTTTAGCAAGTGCAGGTTTCCCACACTATTGCCACTTCTTTTTTTAGTGTCTACCAAAGTTGTTGAAAAGCTAGTTCAGTCTCCATCCCTTTTAGTACTTTGCCTTTCTGCTGAGACTGCTAAACAAAGATGTCCATTGCGTTAGTGGGTTTTGGAGTTTTTTGAAGGGGAGATGGAGGTTAAAGTTCTGAAATCCAAGAGAATAGTTGAATGTATTTATAAGCTATTCCTGGCTTTTAAAAAGTTGTCTTCTCTGTTTACTTGCAGGTTGTGATTGTTTCTCTTGTGGCATCTGTGTGGAAAGTGCCACACACACTACAGAACAACAACGGCTTTTGCTTGCATTTTCCAGTGTTTTTTTTGTCAGCGAGTTCAGCAAAGTTGTAATTCTTCAAGTGCCAGCCCTGAGCTGAGTGAGGAGCCACCAGCAGAGATGGTAAAAATGACAAAATCAAAAACGTTCCAGGCTTACCTGCCGAACTGTCACCGAACCTACAGCTGTATCCACTGCAGAGCCCACCTAGCCAATCATGATGAATTGATTTCCAAGGCAAGTGATTTGTTTAGAGACTTCATGTGGGTTTTTTTAACCAAAATTGTTGTCATTGGGTCAGTACTTCCAATACATCAGTGGTATAAATCTGATGCATACTTCAAAGTATCTTCCCAAGAGCTCCATTCTTGGGTCATAGATGCATTATACTGAGGAATGGATGTTTTCTAGAAACTTCGTGTAAAGCCCCATCATTGCAACCCCCCACAAATAACAGGTAGGTGCTACTTTTGAGATGCGCCTGATCTTTACCAGACCAGGACTAGATGTGATAAGTTTGCTAAGGAAGTAAACTGTCTGAGGGAAGTGTAGAGCTCAGGATTGGGAAATTATTCTTGTTAAATTGATTCAAAAGATTCATCTACTAGAGAGAGGTCACAAAATTAGCTGGTATTACACAATCCAGTGGATCAACATGAAGTCCATCACTACATTGTCTAAGCCTTTCCTTCTCTCATTAATATATACCATCTGGTTAATTTGTGGAGCTTAAAAAACTGATTACTCTGAGGAATGTTCAAGCTCAAGTTTAAATTTCATAAAGAAATTTTGAAGCTTTTGAAATGATCTAGCCCTGTCCTTTATATCAATTGTTGAAAGAAACTAAGACTCCATAATCATGTAGTAAAATTTAATACCGAGGGAAAAATATAAAGTGACGGTGCTTTAAGTCAAATTAAGTTTCTGATGGAGCACCCTGTAAATATTTTCTAAGGAAAAAATTCAATTCAATTTTCAAACTTTGGGTTGTTGTTTTTTAACGGGTGTATGTTGGGGTTGGGGGAAAGGATGGGACTTCCTCTGCTGATAGTGTCTCTTCAACAGGTAGAGTGGTTGAGCCAGAGAACATCCTTCTTGAGGCCGTCCCTTATTTCTTCCCATCTTCTCTGTCCCCCACCATCATCACCCTCTGTTGCTCCTGCCTGCTGGTATCTTTAGCAGCATTGAAGTAATTGAGGTAGTAATAGCATTGAGGAGTCCCAGGAAGTAAAGGAGCCACTCCTTTTAAGTACCTTCAGTGTTCCCTAGTCCTCGGCAGAGGCCTGGGGAGTGAAGGAGGTTCCTTGGGCCACACACCCCTCTACCTGCACACTTCTGGCTCCAAACACAAATGCGAGCAATATTGCTTGTAGATATCCTCTTGCAGGCCTGCTCTTCTCCTCTTCCATTCCTCCTGTTCCTCTTCTCTTCTGTCCCCCCCCACCCCGCCCAACACAAAAAAAACACACACACAAAAGAAAGGGTGAGTGATGTGCCATGCTAATGCACAAAGCAGGAAGTGTGACTGATCAAATGCAAAACATTGAAACTGACTATATACAAAGTGCTGTCCAAAGCATACATTTATTAAATTCAGAAAAGATACAGGCTCTTTAGTTCTAGTAACCATAAATATTGCTTTTAAAAAAAGCTGTAGGAAAATACAAGCAGAAATGTGACTCAAATTTCTTTTAATCACAAAGAAAAATATTAAGGTAAGAATCACCTTTTCTTCAACAACACTCCAATATAAATTTCAAGAAGGAGACATGACTTCATTATTCAACACGCACTGTAAGTAAGTGGCAGGTTAGATTTGAATAATTGAGGGGGGGAATGTTTTCCAGATCTGTGGAGTTACTGGGAATTGTATTTCATACTAAACAAATGGAGGAGTATGGCAAACTTTACCAGCAAAGTTCAGAAAGAAAACTAGAACACTGAACTTTCAAGAAAAAAAATGAGATCCATCACATGTGGTTGGTATCTACCTTCTCATCCAGTAGACTTTTCTAGGGTAATCTAAATGTGGTGCAACAAGCTCTATAGTTTGACAGTATTAAGGTTTACCATAATTCCCAGACAAGCAGATAGGTATCAGGGTTTTGAAAGAGGTCTTGATAATAAGAATATCTCTTGAATATATGCTCCAGTTGGATCATAGGTTCATACTACAACTTTAAATTGTCTAGAAAGGATTAAAAACCTGAGACCGTAAAAGTTTGAAGAGGGGTTATTGAGCATATGGAGATTAAAAAAAAAAAATCTAAGTCCTGTGTGTTCAGATAAATTTAGCCTAAGAAATGTCTTCCAGACAGGAAGGATTCGGGTATATAATATAAAGTCTCTTGTTTAATACTGGTTTCCTATTCTCCAGTGAAGGTTTCTCTAAACCAAGCTACCAAACTTTTAAATGTTTGCAGATTGGCAAGTCAGCAAAATCACATTTATGGTCAACATTCCCTAAACTCTGAGTTTCCTGCCTTTTTTTATGTTGTGTGTCAGATCTAGAAATGCATTAAATTTGAGTTATTTTTGCTTGTAAATAAAAATGTACTTGATTCTTTGCTGCTTTCTGACATACTGTACTGCTATAGTTGGGACCTGGGCAATAAAGGCAAATGAAAGGGAAAATGTTCAATTATTTAAAGCTCAGCATGTGTGAGAGAGATTTTGTAAGAGTGCATAGACAAATATAATGTTGTGTGAACACTTCTACATTTGAGGGGGGGGGTTTCTTTCAGCATAGAGTATTAATTCCTAATGTGGAATCTTGTAACCTGTAAGCCTCTACGACACATAGTGCACCCACTGGGAAAATGAAGAGTTCACTACTAACTTAAAAAAAACCAACTGTAATTGTACTGTTAGAATATTAACCTTCAATGCTATCTTAAAACAGACCATTAACATACTTGAATTATATATTTAGGCACTCTATTTAGAATTATACCCAAGCATAATTGGTAGTTGTAACTCTGAATTTTCTTCTGTCATTCTTGCAAACTGTCCCTCCTTCCTGGATCTCCTCTCCAATGTAGTGCACTCTTAAAACATGTATTCATTAAAAATAATGGGAACATGAATATATCTGGTGTGTGTGGCAACAGTTGAAGATATTTAAACAAAAAAAATACTTCAAATAATAAAAGGCAATCGGGTGATTCTGTACTCCAGAGACTGTTGGTATACATTTGCCATCTGAAGCAAAAATATTTGACTTTGATTGTATAGAATTGCAATAAATAAATATGCTGTACTGCAGTCTATGAATTGTATTGAAGAATAGTACTTTGAAATCCGAAGAAAAGAGTGCATGACTTAAAAACCAACCATTAAAATTGTCACTTCCTCATTAATAGAAAACTAAATGTAAGCTATCATTTTATGAATACTACTCAGTTGTGGATATAACATGAGATGTTAGACTGTTTAGATTAGAAGGAATAATGGTTTAACCCTTATGCTGTCTGCTCCAACATTTCTTTTCTGAGAACATATTTTGAAGTGATCCATGGGAAGCATGTAGATGTTTGTGCTGTCTTAGCATGTATTAAAAAAAGACTGTAAAGGAGACCTTGTAAACCCTCCCCTGCTGGTTTTTTGTATTGAAATTTTCTGGTTGTGACTTTCTGTTCTTTCTTAAGTATTAGAACTCATGGGATTATGATGTTTCAAGAGACTGAAACAAGGAAATTGGTGATGGGGAGAAGATAAATCGCTGAACTTTTTTTCCTTTTTTGTTTTGAGACTTATTTTTAACTTTAGAGAAAAGCTAGCCTAGCAAGAGATTCTTTCTCCCTGTTGCTTCTGTTCAGGGCTACACAATCCTACTCCAGATTGCTTGTTTTCCAAGGCTTCCTCAGTTGAAAACAGGACAAGCGAGACTTGATAATCCAAACACAGCACTTTCTAAACTGCTCTGTGGTGCTGGTGGTTCTTGTTTCCAGCAGAGATAAATACTTGTTAGAGGAGACTGTGAAATGTCTTGTCCTTTTCAAAAAATCAAATAAAGACAGCTATACAGTAACTCCTCGCTTAACGTTGTAGTTATGTTCCTGAAAAATGCGACTTTAAGCGAAACAATGTTAAGTTAATCCAGTTTCCCCATAAGAATTAATGGGTTAGGTTCCAGGGAATTTTTTCACCAGATAAAAGACTACACACACACACACACAATAAGTTTTAAACAAACAATGATGATTGTGAAGCTTGGTTGAGGTGGTGAAGTCAGAGGGTGGGATATTTCCCAGGGAATGCCTTACTGCTAAATGATGAACTAGCACTCTGCTGAGCCCTCAAGGGTTAACACATTGTTGTTAATGTAGCCTCACACTCTACAAGACAGCACAAATGGAGAGAGGGGAGACAGCATGGCAGACAGAGAGCGACACCTTGTGTGTGAGCAAAAGAGATGTGCATTGCTCCTTTAAGTACGCTGACCCCACTCTAAGTACATTGCCTTTTTAAGTAGATCAGCAAGTTGAAACAGCAGCTGCTGCCAGCAATCTCCCTCTGTCCTGAGCCCTGTCATATCCCCCCTGCTCTATGGACATGGGGTAAGTGGGGAGCAGGAGGGAGGGGGACACCCTGACATTAGCCCCTCCTCTTCCCCACCTCCCTCGCGTAGCAAGCAGGAGGCTCTGGGGAGCAATTCCAAGGCACAGGGCAGGAGCAGCACATGGCAGTGGGGGAAGGGACAGCTGATAGCCTGCTGGGCGGCTGCTGCACAGGGAACTTAGGGGAGAGGGGAGCTGATAGGGGGGCTGCCAGTCCACCTTGGTTCCAAGCCCCCACCAGCTAGCTCCAACAGGCTGCTCTTTCTGCAAGCAGTGGACAAAGCAGGCGGCTGCCAAACAATGTTATAAGGGAGCATTGCGCAACTTTGAACAAGCATGTTCTCTAATTGATCAGCAATGAAACAACGTTAACCGGGACGACTTTAAGTGAGGAGTTACTGTATTTAATTTCCTATTACTTTTTCATAGGTAATCAATTTATTATAGCTTCCACAGTAATGCTTCTTAATACAAAATGGGAGGGAAGGTGGTCCATGCTGTGAAACACTTAGGGATCCCTACTCTAAGGTGTTAGAGTGCCGTGGTGGTAGTTGTAGTTTTTGTTTGTTTGTTTTTAAATTCAGCCCTTCTGTCATAGAAAAGCTAAAAAACCTAAACACTTTCCCTCCCTACAGGCCTCTCTTAAGTTACGGTGTGGCAAAAAATACTCTTTTGTAGTTTACATTTCCTCTAGCTCTAGACAGCTATAATGTATTTCTGAAGTGGCTTTCTTATATAAAAATAATTCTAACTCTAACTTTCTCAGTTTATTCTGATTGAGATGCTATACTTGTTAACAAAAAGCTGAATTACCCTCCCCCCCCGCCAAAAAAAACCTGAGTCATTTTTAAACGTTTTCTAATTTTAAGACAAACTTCCTTTTCTCCAAATACAAAAACAGCAAGCATACTCCCTCCTTTCTTTTTGCTAAAGCCTATCTGCCAACCTTCACTGGAGGATTGTGTCCTCCTTCGTGCTGTAAGCAGTCAGCCGAAACAGTTGCCAGTTAGGAGAGCAGTACTAAAATGATTTACTCCTTCATTTTACTGCCAACAGTTCTGCCAGTCCACTCTGGACAGTATTTTCCTGCCTTTTTGCCTATTCATGTAGAACTTTCTATATCTTCCCCCTTCCTCCCTACCCCCTTGGCCACCTTTCAATAGAATATGCTAATTTTTGAGAGGCACTAGCAACTACCTATAGAAACAAAAATTATATTGGTTTTTATTCAGCTTTGAACATTACTTTTCGGGGGAGGGGTGGGCATTCAGACAGTGAAGCATTCTTCTGTCAACTGCTCCAGTAATGAGTCCTTTAGCTATACAGTGGCTGTTGGAAACACACACAAACAAGGACAATCTCTGCAAAGCCAAAGAAATCTAAGATGCCCAGCATGTGGGTATCAGTTGCCCTCTTTACAGGTTATGCAAACCTTTTCTATTAGAAAGAGGAACACCCAACAGAGAGCTATCGTCAGAGAAACCACAAAGCTGTCCTTACTCCAAATCTCATAGACATGTAGAAGACCAGATAGATAAGGCCCCTTGACAGGCAACATCCCAACACAGATGACTCAAGCCACCAATGATATGGTAAGCAAGCACTCTTTTAATGATCTAGAGACCAGAATGCTTTAGTAGTTTGCTTTATGAAGTACTTACATAGATTGAGACCATCTTTGGGTGTAGTTTTATTTAAGTAGTCTCCCTCCCTACAGCCTATGGAAAGCTTGAATTAGCCACAGCCTTCTTTGAAATCCAAATCAAATTAGATGCTCATGACTAGTAGAGCAGTCTTGCTGCTGGGTTCTTCATTCTAATCTTCCTTCTCTGTATGTTCTCTTCCCTGTCGTTCCCCCCCCCCCCGCCAATCTTCTTCATGACGCTGGGGGTGGGGAGGAGAATCCAGAATTTAAAATTGGTCAGAAAAATCTTAATCTCTAGCTGTCTTTTCCACCTTCTTTACTGGGGAAAGTAATTTTATTGACTAGGCCAAGAGCAGTCTCAAGATAGACTATTTTGAGGAGAGGGTTGGGTTGGGTGTTTTGTTTTGTTTTTTAAAGTGTGTGTTTGCGTGCACAATAATGGTTAATCCTGACCTCTGAGCAAAACAGGACTTGTCTTTTTCCATCCTTATAGTGTACAAGAAATGCCTGAAAGTTTCTCCTCTTCCCCCGCCCCCCCCATCTATTTTAAAATATGTATATATTTTCTCTTTATTATTTATTCATTTTAAAACAGTATATTCAACACTGTCTATCTTTAAAGACTGGTGACTGGAGAAGTAGTGCTATCACAAGACCTAAGAGTGCAAGTTCTTTAAGTGACGGGGAAGGGATATTTTTAGTGTATTTTAAACTTTGTTTTTTGTTAATTCCCATTAAAATTCAGTGACTACCTTTTTAATAAAGGAAAATTGTGTTTAAAAGGTGTGATACCTTGTCTTTTAAGTTACTGCTTTAGAGCTCACAAACATTTTGAGGCCTCCCTGATATCCTTTAGCAAGACCAGTCTTGATACCTATGTCATTTCTAAGATTTTTATTTATTTATTTATTTTTAAAGCAAGAAAAACAACTCAGAGTGGAGGGAGTGCCTTTCAGTATACTGCTTTAGTATGTAGTGCAAAAAAGGGGATACAAGCCCATTATTTAAAAAAAAATCCTTTGGAGGGCATTGATTTCATTGAAGGTCTTTTAAAGAACTCTGAAAAGCAAATACTATAGGGCCAGCTCATATATAAAAGAAAAAAATCCCTTTTAATCAAAGGACACTAACAGGTGTGAATTGGGAGAGCCGAGCAAAACTGGCACTCTAATAGGCTGACCTTGAAACATTAAGCTGTTAAAAACAAGTTAGACCACATTCTAGCTAACGTAGATATGACTGACTTGCTTTTTTGGTCAAGGATATGCTGATCTTCTCCAGGGATGATCTTCCAAAAGACTAGACTGACACAATAGAGAGGTCTTTCAAAACTTTAAGCTTCAGCTGTAGATTTTTAAACTTCAGTGGCTTCCACAAGATTAGTTACAGCCCTTCTCACCTTGTCTGGTGATTTTAAATACATTTGGAGATCAGTACATAAATGCCATTTTGAAGACGAGTGAGGAAAGGTGACAGAGCAAAGATGCTTTATTGAGGAACTTTCTTATTGATGTGGCTATGAAAAGCAGATGTCCAGCAAAAATGAGTTTTAGCATGAGCTAAGATTATAGTAGGCAGAACTTTGGTGAAAACCTAGATGAAGTTTAGGTAAGCATGTCTCACCATTAAATGGAGTAATCAGACCATACACCTAGCTCAGATCTTCCCGTCAGCCAGTGTGGCAAACAAATTACCACAAGTTACCTGGAAAACAGAAATGGCTAAAGGTTTTAAGCACTCTTCTAACCACTTCAATAGGAAGACAGACTAATTGGTCTGTCCTTGGCTTTCAATCTGTAGCTAGAGAGCTGGGCTATCTGATTAACTTGCACAGTGAATTAAATTACATCAGACTAATAGATATTGGATATGAACGCTTACGTTAATGTTTTGAAATTATTAATACTCCAAGAATGAAGTTCCTGGAATCTCCAGTTTCTTCTCCCACCCTTATAAAACACTTTGAAATCTTTGATGATGGAGGGCACAAGAACAAGAAATTCTGTGGGATCATACTCTTTGGAATTTCACACGTGCACAAACAAAAGTGGAAGGCTCAATAGAAGCATGAAGAAGTACAAATTCCTGATGAAAATTTGAGAGACAAGGTGGGGGAGGTAATATCTTTTATTGGACCAACTTTGGTTGGTGAAAGACAAACATTCAAGCTTAAGCAGCTCTTCTTCAGGTCTGGGAAATGTACTCAGACTGTCACTCCTAAATGTAAGGTGGAACAGATTGTTTAGGATAAGTAGCACATATTTCAAGGGGCTGTTCAAGGTGAAGTGGTCCGTTAACACCCCTCCAGTCATCCTACAGTCTGTTTCCCTCATCTCTATCGGTCCATAATCTTAGCAGACACTTATTGGTCCCCTAAGCAAAGATCATAGAAAACATCTCCAGTATTTGTTGTGAATTTGGAAAAAAGCTCCTTAACCCAAACCCATACTTTTAGCTTGGAATATTGATACATTTCCAGGAGAGGAAGGGCCTTCCTATCAATGGAAAGAATAGGAGCTGAAGGAATCTACAAGACCAGTCAGTCTCCTAGAGCCTCGATTTGACCTTCTGGGAGTGATGATCATGGGGCTATAGATAATTTCTTGGACCTTTCATAAACTGTTGCTATTATATAACAGGTGATCTATTTGATCTCTTGGAAATATATAAGGAGAGTATTCTAAAGAGTTCTCCTGTTGTAGATCGAAGCAAGGATCATTAGCTCAGCCAGTGCATTCCTATAGGGTGAGGAAGCTCATGGAAAGAGATGTCCTGAACATAGCAAGTGCCTATT